AACATATTTTTTAGGGAGAGATCTGCTAACATTCAGATGAATAACTTTGATTTCACTGATGCTGTAATTAATTTGCTGAACGGTTGCTGGTTAGACACAACTGATTACCTTTATAGAAGATACTAAACTGTAACTCATATTTTATAAATGGCAGTGGCTGGACTCAGGAAAACCGAGATTAACCACATTATGGTACGTGAACCTAAACCATCTATACAAAAGCAACGTTTTGCACAAAGTCTGGTATTCAGACATCTTCACTGTTAAGACTTATCCTGTAATTGCTGAAACAGAGTCCTTTGAAAGCTTGAGTTTCTTCATTCTGTTTAACAGTGATATGAAATCACTGAGGAAGTAATTTCAGCTTTGGCATGGGGTGCACTTAGTACACTAATGACTTAGCTCTGCTGTTTCTTGCAACCTAATTATAAGGAAGTATGCGATTTCTTGAATATTGTACAAAGTTAATAATGGGGTAGATGAAGAAGAGCAAGCTAAAATCAATCTAATCTAGATGGATTTAACCATCTACTCTAAATTGCCTTAAATCCAGTAATTTGTGTAAGTCTTGTAGTGCTTTCTGAGACGAAGTTGACAAAACAAATTGAAGGAGCTATCACTTTATTACGGTACTTCTCTACAGTAAAATATCAACAAGTATTCTAAGAAAGCTACTATGTGGATGGCAAGAAATATAATGGAAAAATCCAATTGCTGTTGAAGATATACTCTGTCTGTGTCTGTCTGTGTGTGTATAGATATACATACACACATACTGTAATCCAATGCATTTCAGACTAAATTAGTCCTTCAGGGGCATTGTATAAATACTCAGCCTAAATTACCACTGCTTTGAGGTTAAAAATGGTTAAATAGAACTAGATATGCTGCTGAGAAATGTGGAATAAAGACAATAAAATTTTTCTTTGTACTTTGGAGTATGAAGTTGATGATAACCGAACAGTTAAATAACTGGTTCTTTAATTAGGATATCAATGCATGATTAATAAGTAGCCAGTAAAAGGTGAGCTGTCTCATATTAATGACTTAAAAACGCTTGTCCACAATTTGACTAGATATTTATGTCAGACTTGATTCCTAAACGGATAAAATCTTTCTTTCTTCTACTATTATGGAATACTGTATGATGTCATGACTATTTTCTTCCAAAAGGGACTAAAAGTAGAAAATGAGGAAGAAGGAACCTTCTTGGGCCAGTTTATGTATGACACAGACGGATATTTAATTCAAACATTCCAGTTGAAGGTATGTAGAGGCTGTTGGGAAATTTGCACACAATTTTAATAAACATTGCTGTTGACCAAGGGGACAATTATAGTAACCCATACAGTTAGCATAACTTTATAATCATCATGATTTTCCTTAAGGTTAAACAAAAAACAAAA